AAATCATAACCCTTATATTTTTCTTTCATTTTGCGTTGAAACTTATTAAAAAGAGGGAGTTGATTCAGCGGAAGATCTGGATGGGATAACGTGTTTATAATCTGAATGTTAAGCATTTGTTGCTCCTCTCAATGTGAATTCTTCAAGTCTAACTTTTTTTTTTTTTTGAAGAAACATGAGATGATCGTCAAGTTTTTGAGAAAGGACTTACACGAATTTCATTTCGACGATGTTTTTTTCTTTATCCCTTATCAACGATAAATTTGTGCCTTTTGTTTTATTCCTTTCCACCGTGCATTGAATAGTGACTTCCAACGAGTCCTCGCCATCACCATCATTGAGGTCCAATTCAAAATCCGCATCCGACTTCATTGTTCTTCCCCATTTGTTGGAGTCGGTGGATTGCAAATGAATAAGCAAGCTCGAATCAATGGCCCGTTTTGGACCATCTCGCATGATAAGCCATGATCTTTTATGGACAAAGGGTTTACCACCATGGGTGGTCTTGTATTGTTGAGCGTTGTCGTGTTTTTAATGATTTTTCAACACCTTTTCTATGTCACCTTCATAGAGAGGTTGGTGTTGGGAATGCTGGGGTCGAGGTTACTGAAATTGTTGGAATTGGTAAAATTGATTAAATTAGTTTGGTGTTTGGTAAAGGTTTTGTTGGTGGAAGTAGTTATGTTGGATGGAAAATGAGTGGTTGTTGAATATATGAGGTTTCTAACATGTTTTTGAACCCTATGGTTCGTGATTAGAAGTATGGGTATCCTGTGGGTGAATCGAAAGTGAGTGTGTTTTAATTTTGATCTATTTTTGGATGTTTGGTGAAAGATAAATAGTTTCAAAGAGAGAAACAATTTGTGATTGCAGTGTGAAAATATGTATGAAATAAGGTAGTATCTATATGTAAATACTGAATTTAAAAAAAAAAGTTTTGTATTTAACTCTTTCAATGGTCACAAAACGATCACATGATTGTTAACTCTTTCTCTCTCCCTTGTCACGACGCGTAAAGCTCTTCTGCCACACAGGTGGTATTTACGTGTAAGAGACCCGCAATACCTTAGTATTATGCACCTTCTATAAAGATATACTTATCTACCTTAACAAATTATTCACCACCAAAATAACAATATTTAGATGCATGTCTAGTATTCATGGATCCTTTAACAAAAGTATTTTATATATTTTTTTTATTTTGTAATATATATATATATATATATATATATATATATATATATATATATATATATATATATATATATATATATATATATATACACACACACACGGGGTTCGGTGCAGTTTAATCCGCGATTTCACAATAAAAATCTGCAAATCACAACACATAGTTCCGTTCAACAATAATAGAAGCCACAAATGTCACCACAAAACTTCTAAACCACATTATGGAGTAGTACGACGTGATGTGATGTAGATGGTTTATGAGGTTTGATCACACCCTTACATATAACTTAGCAAATCAAGTATGAACTAGTATACTTTCCAAACATTATATGATATTTGGACGAACTATGTAATTAAGGATTCAAGTTTACACTTAATAACATTTCAACCTTTTCAAACAAAGCTTGTAAATTTGGACACACTATCTCATTAATAATAACATTTATTATATTTGTAAACACCATAATTTTGCTGCATGAATCACGTTCATGATAAAATGATATGGTTGGTTGATGTTTTTCCGTTTTTTAATGCATATGCACACTTTCCATTCTCCCTTTTTCACTTTTCTTGGTTTTTAATTATTCGTATAAGAATATAAAATTATCGCATAATTGATCTTAACCTCATTGAAAATTGATATTTTTTTCTTTAGTCGATGGTCCCTCCCATGGTCCAGCGAAGATGACAAGAACTAGCTATAAAATTTTACTTGAAAACAACCGTCCCATTTCTTTTTTATTCCTTTAGTTTTCAATCTCATAAAATGCCAAGCAATTGGCCATGGCATCTCCTTCTTGTCATACAGTCGTTATCTCAAGAAATGATGATAAGAGGCACTCTTTCTATAAATATTAGTGTTTTCATTGATCTGATGTATGCTCCTTAGTTTCATATTCCATAATAAACTACATGGAACATTTATAAACATTGATATGTGACCTTGTCTAAAGGGATTTATTATGTAAGATGATGTTGTAAATAATGTTTAATCCATTCAAAGTTCAATTTTTTATCCAAGAATGCTCATTAATCATTATATATACTTTAGTGATCAAATCAAAATTAAAACTATTGGCATTTTCATGCGTTATGAGACTTCAATCTTTATTTCTAAACAAATTCATTTGAAATTGATTATTTCCGAGTGGGTGCATAAATTATCCATAGTTAGTATTTATAGCACTTACACAAACATGACAATTTATACAGCCATATCATGTAAAACTGCTATGCACTTTGTGTGTGTGTTTTTTTTCCTGTCGGTAAAGTGATTGTTAGTATGTTCTTGTATTTATGTTTAGAGAAATTAAATATCCTCCTATCTTTGGTTCATACGAATCCTTCTATCTATTTAACAAGGTTGTTAAGATTGGGATCCTACCTATGATCGTTTTTGGGTTTGCAAAATCGGAATCGTAAGATCGGGATCGAGATCCTAAGATCCCACAAAATAGAATATAATTTTAATTTATAATATTAATCATAAAAAATATTTCAAACATTTAATTTTTCGTTCAAAAGTTATAAAAACTTTAAAATATTAGTCATAAGTCACAATAAAAATGATAAATGGTAGATTGGTAAAGGGTAAAAGACATAAAATGGTAAAAAAAATTCATTTGAAAAAAAAAATTAAAGGAAGGTAGGATCGGATCGGATCTCGATCCTACGATCCTACCTACGATCTTACGATCCTACCTGCGATCCTACCCAAAATACGATCCTTTTACGATCCGGATCGTTTTTCATACATAGGATCGTAGGATCGTACGATCCTACGATCAGGATCGCGATTTTGACAACCATGCTATTTAAATAATAACATATGTCATATTAGTATCAAAAAATATCATTAAATTTTTATTAAATAAGCATTAAATGTTACACATATCACTATTTAATTGGATAGAACGATATGTAATAACAAAAGATAAGAAGATATTTAATCTCTCTTATGTTTAAATCGTTGATAGTTTGATTGTGATATACAAATTTTCTTTTTATAACTATATTTTATAAAAATATGATTAACAACCAAATTAATTTATCAAAATAAATACATTACAAAAACTATGCCAATTTCATCAAAATTAAGAATTGATATCAAATATATTACTTTTATTCTACATTCAAACCAATATTGTTTATCCAAAATCCTACATAATACTTGCATACCAATTGCATCAAATTCCGGATAATCTTTTCAAAAAGAGACAGATTTAGATACTCAACGATTACATGTTGTTTATCGATGAGACAACAGATTCAGGGAAAGTAAAAAGACATATTTACCCTAATACGAACCGAAAAGAACGGAAACCTAGAATTGTTTATAAAAAATAAACTTTATATTGCTTTAATAATAATAATAAGGGAGAATTTCGTATATACCCCTGCTAAACATCTAAATATCGTATTTGCCCAACCCAAACCCTAAATATCATATTTGTCCTTCTTAATGTTTTAAAATATCATATTTACCCAAATCTAATTTTTAAATAGATTTTACTATTTAATAAGCATTTTTTACAATTTAAAATCATTAAAAATGAAAAAAATAACTAAATGGACAAGAATACCCTTACTCTCTAAATCGCATAAACCCTTACCTGTTGTTGTTGCTGTGATCGCAGAAGTTTTGTCGATAAAAAAAAACACAGCGTCGACTTCTTTTCAGCGTCGTCGCCTCCTCCTTGTTGCAATCAGGACGATTATTTAGGTTAATTTTTGGCTTTATTTGTGAATTGAACATTACATTCATGGTTAGAACGGATGAATAACTTAAAACCTGAGAATGCATGATCAACACATGTGTAATCGGATATAATCTAAATCGCATAAACCCTTAGCTGCTGCTGTTGCTGTGATCGCAGAAGTTCTGTCGATAAAAAAAAACACAGAGTCGACTTCTTTTCAGCGTCGTCGCCTCTTCCTTGTTGCAATCAGGACGATTATTCAGGTTAATTCCTGGCTTTATTTGTGAATTGAACATTACATTCATGATTAGAACGGATGAATAACTTAAACCTGAGAATGCGTGATCAACACATGTGTAATCAGATAATCAGTAGGTTATCTGTTAGCTTTGTTTGTCAATTAAACATTGAATGTGATTACAATTGATGATATAATGTCCAATATGAGTGTGATTACAATCAACATGTTATCTCTATGTTTTTTGTTCATGATTATTTAAAACCGTTTTGCATATTATTTGGTGGCTAATCAGGTACAATCACTAGGTTGTTTGTTGGGTTTGTTTGTCAATTAATCATTGAATGTTATTACAATTGATGATATAATTTGAAAAATGAATGTGATTACAATCAACGGGTTATCTCTATATGTTTTTTGTTATTGTTGAATTAAAACCGTTTTGCATGTTATTTCTTGGTTTCTTTGTCATTGAATGTTTCATTACAAGTAATGAACTAATGTGCAATATGAATTCTTTTTTAATTGAATATTCTTTGTGGATTATAAAGCATACATTTGGTATTTGTTATACGTTTATATCTGTTTTTCTTATCGTCGATTTAAAATTAGGCTGTTATAGATGCGATACAAACCAATGTCCGAAGATCATTCTCAAACATAATATATTAACCTTCATAACACATCAAAACCAATATGGGAAAGCAGGGCTACATCTCCAATGATCGAGTATGTTTATGTGAATATCTTAATTTTCATTTATTAAACCTTTACAAAATTGTATGATTGTTTCTCTAATTAGTTTCAATTTCGGGCGTATACCAACATCCAAGTTCAAGTTAAAATTAAAATATGGGGGTTACTTTCGGCTAATGAAGAACAGTTGTAGGAAAATATATTGTTTTGGCTCTCAAAAATGTATCCACATAGACACAACTTTATACAAGTTAAGTCAACTACACGAAGAAGTGATAAAGCGTTATTCATCAAAGAACAACCCAAAATTTTCTATTCTTTATGTTGACAAGTATGCACCAGACAAATCGATTATTGAGCTCGATTCTGATGAAAAGTTCATGGCTATGCTTAGCATGTATGGAAGCGAGAAACAAGTAACCATTTATGTGACAATAGAGAATAACCTCGGCTCCAATATTCATGCTAACCATTCGTGTGCCAACAGAGATGAACCACACGATGAGTATGATGCAGACTTTTGTCCTAGTGAAGAAATCTATCATAGTCATCTCAGTTCTGATAATGAAGACGGTATAGTGAATGATGATGATGAAGTTAACTCATTTAGTAAGAATAGTATAAGAATGGAAGTCGGCTCAAAATTTGAAAATGTGGTTGATTTTAGGAGAGCTTTGAACCACTTTGCAGTCATAAATGAGTTTAACTACTACATTCAAAAAAGTGACCCCACACGATTCACAGCAAGATGTGAAAACCTAGAGTATGAGTGGAGAATTCATGCTTCTATTACACAAGATGAAGTTACCTTTGAAGTAAGTGTATATGTTAAGTTATATTTAACATGCTATATATTAAAACATATTTACGTTTATTTAATTCTTTTTTAGGTTAAGAAAATGGTAGAAGTACATACTTGCACTCGAAGCAACAAAGGTGGCAATAAGCGTGCCACTCAAGGTTGGATTGCTAATGTAGTAACTGACAAGTTGAAATCTGATGGGGATGTCTCTCCATATGAGCTTAGAAATTGGATTATGAAAACTTACAATGTTGACGTGCCGTACCTAAAAGTTTTTAGAGGGAAAGAGCAAGCTTATACCGACATGTATGGTAAGTGGGAAGACTCTTTCATGAAGATGGACGAATTTAGAGAAGAACTATTACAAAGGAACGAAGGAAGCATTGTGGAAATTGACTTTGACAAAGTTGGTGGAAAGAAACTTTTTAAAAGGTTTTTTATTTGTTTAGCAGCTTGTTCTAGAGAGTTTGTTGTCTGTATATTGGTCTTGATGCTTGTCATTTAAAAGGAAAGTTTAATGGTGTACTAGCCGCTGCAACTGGTATTGACGGTAACAATTCTATCTTTCCAATAGCATATTGTGTGCTTGAATCAAAAAACACACAATCATGGACATGGTTTCTTGACTCACTCAAAAAAATCAATTGGAACCCCAAATGGTCTTGTTATCTCATCGGACATGCAGAAAGGGTTAGAAGTAGCCATCATGAACGTGTATCCTAATGTTGAGCATAGAGAATGTATAAGGCACTTATATAGCAACTTCAAGAAACACTTTCGTGGTGACTTCTTTAACACCAAAATATGGGTTGGTGCGAAAACCTATCGTCCTACCAAGCATGATAGGTTATTAAAGAAAATTAGTGATAAAAATGAAGATGCCATTGCATATCTAAATACTAATCAAAAAAAAAAAATTGGAGTAGAAGCAAGTTTGGAACTACTTCCAAGTGTGATTACATAACTAATAATGTTTCAGAAACATTTAATTCTTGGATTGGTAAATTGCGCTATAAACATGTGCTTGATCTCCTAGATGCAATTAGGGAAAAGATTATGAAACGGTTTGATAAAAAAAAGGAATTTGGTGAGTACATGGAATGGCGTATTAGTTCCTATTGCTAAAAATCATCTCAACGACATCGCTAAGGTAAACATGTTAAATAATTAAGTTGAATGACTATATTTGTTTTAGTTTTTACTTCAATAATACATATATCTAATATATATATATATATATATATATATATATATATATATATATATATATATATATGTTTTTAATTTTCATATAGAACTTAGGTGAATATGAAGTTACTAGAAGTTGTGAGAATCAAGCTGAAGTGAAGTACAAGGGAACACGTTGGGAGGTCAGCCTAGAGGAAAGAAAATGTAGTTGTCGCATGTGGCAAGTTCAAGGTCGACCATGTGTACATTCAGCGACTTTTATTGCTTTTATAAGGGATGCTAACTGGGACAAATATGTTGATCCCTATTTCACTATAGAGAAATTTAAATCTGCATATGCTTTTCAAATTGCTCCGATGCCCGGACAGGATCAATGGGCGGAAAAAAATGGGGAGAAAATATATCCACCTATTATCAAACGCCCACCTGGACGACCAAGAAAAAATAGAACTAAATCATCGGATGAGCCTAAAAGAAGACACAAGTGTCCACGATGTGGTGAGTATGGACACCGTCAAAAAACATGTAAAAATCCAGCATCTCAAAGTTTCGATCAAAGTGAAACAGCCACCTCTAAAAGGTTACTTAAATTTCCATTATTTTTTTTGAGTAAATGACAATACTAACAATGAAAATAATTTTTTATTCATTTTAGGAAACGTGGAAACAAAAAAAAAAATCGCATGGCGATGTCGGAGTTTCAGGGTCTACATAAAAAAAGCTCATGCAATTAGTTGGTCTTTTTGATAATTTTGTTAGCTTAAGTTGCAAATGTTCTTAATTAGGGTTCAATTGATGGATTTTTTTTGTTATTATGTGACATAAATAAATATTTTGATATTTTTTTCTTTCATGGATTTGCATTGTCGGCAAATTTGTATATATGGTGTAACTTTAAAGACTAGGGACCAAACTGTAATAAGTGCAAATTTAAAGTCTAGGGACCAAACTATCATAAGTGCAAATTTAAAAACCAGGGACCAAACTGTAATAAGTGCAAATTTAAAGTCTAGGGACCAAACTATCATAAGTGCAAATTTAAAGACCAAGGACCAAACTGTAATAAGTGCAAATTTAAAGTCCAGGGACCAACCTGTAATAATTGCAAAATTAAAAAGTATAAGGACCAAATAGTAATTAGTGTAAATTTAATAAGTGCCAAATGTAAAAACCAGAGATCAAACTGTAATTAATTCCAAATATATTCTTTATGGACAAATATTGTATATATTACAATTAAAAATATAATTAATTCCAAATATATTCTTTATGGACAAAAATTATATATATTACAATTAAAAAGTACTGAGATAAAAAATATTGCTAGTGTAATTAACTATTACAAAACTATGAAAGTTCAATGATATATCTTGTTAATTTCTCAAAGTACAATGCTATTTCTTGAATTTAGCCCTACTTTTGTATCTCTTCATTTGATGTAGTGAATTTGAAGGTATTATGTATGTTTTCTTTTGTGGCTTGTAACCCAACTTCAGCCGGTCAAATAGTTTATGCTTTAGATGTCAAACCTACAACAACAGCAACACAAAAACATGTCAAACTTAATAATTAAGGATAGCAAACTTACTAATTAAAACAAAATACACATGATGTCATTTAATAATTAAGGATTCCATGTGCATGTCCACAAAGGCCAAATAAAACCAAAAATCATTGTTTAGTGACAACCAATAACTTAAAACTATGATTACATCAAGGGTAAATTAGGAATAGGTAAGATTATTGTTATTTGGTGCTATTTGCTTAAAAGATTTAAGGAGAAAAATGGATAAATAACATAGTAGATAACAAGGAACAGGAAGCAAACCCTTGATTTCCACTAAAAATATATAAAACCAACAGTCATTCTCTTCTCTTTCTTTGTTCCTCAACCTAATCTAATCATCAACCACAAGTCACATTCTTTATAAAAGACACCTATAAGATGATCAAAAAGAGCTTCTGAATTTGTTATAAATTATTCTAACAAGTTGTAATTACTAACTCACTACCACTTGAAGGGTTCAAACCATTGATTTTCATGAATTGGGATCTTCCCAGGTTCATAAACAGGAGGAGTTGTGGTTTGTTCATGTTGTTCAGAATCAGGAATGGTTTTTATCTCATGAGCTACAGTAACTTTCTTATGTTTTTTCATTGCCTCTTTCTTTCTTGGCCTCGTAGACATATGAGGCTTATTTGTAGGTTGATCTAATACCAAAATCGAATTAACAAAACATACTTTTAAAGATTTAACAATCAGCAAAATACATGGTACGCTTATGTAATACCAAAATCGAATTAACAAAGAAGTTCACTGGAAACCTGACTGTAGCTCAAATCAAAACAACTAAGCTATCAAATACAACATAACTAAGTTGATTGTTAAAAGAATTTGAACAAATGAAACTAGGAACCCTAAAAACGAAATTGAAGAGATGGAAAATAGGAATAGCGTGAAGTCGACATTAACTGATGCGATGATATGATTACGCAACAATAGGGGGAAGACGGATGTTGTGTGCTACGATCGGAAGGAAGCTGCGATCGAAAGGAAGCTGCAAGACGGGAGGAGGCTGTGATAGGAAGGAAGACGGAAGGATGAATCTGCGATCAATAATCCCCGTTAACGTGTGTATGATTTGGAATTAGAAGAAGGGCAAAATTGTCTATTTCAAATGTTTTTTTAGCTTTAATGATTTTAAAATGGCAAAAAAAAATTAAAAATCAATAAAAAATAAAAAAATAAAAAAAATAGATTTGGATATATATGATATTAAAAAAACATTAAGAAGAGCAAATACGATATTTAGCTGTTTAACGAGGGTATATACGAAATTCTCCCAATAATAATAATGTAATAATATATAAAACTAAAAATAGATTTTTACATTATATTTGCCATTTCGAAGTTGGGTCAAGCTCTTTTAACAAAGGAGCCCAACCCTACACAAGCCCAAGTGAAGACTCAAACTTTTTTTTTTTTTTTTTTTTTTTGGGGGGAAAGCCGACTCGCCGGAGGTTGTCTTCCTAAAAACATGCCTTCGGTTGCTGCCGTCGGTGACCTTATTTTATGGATGCAGTAACGTTTGGCATCATCGTCGGGATAATAATCCTCTTCTTTATTATTGTTTGTTTCATCACCATTGAAGGCACCTGCAAACGTCGCTCTTCTTGAAATCCAATGCCCCAAACCTAACACACTATTAATCTGGAAAGCTCCCGAAGAAAACCTAACACGCTTTAAATTCTGGAAACCCCCCCAAAAAAAACAGAACAAACCCTTCCCAGAATCCAATACAACAAGCCGATAACAATGGCGCTTCGTCAATCTAAAAACCAGATCTGTAGTTTACTTATCGTCTTGGTTTTGACGATTGGGTTTAATTTGAAAGCGAGTTTCGGGCAACAGTGTCAGCACTCTAGTGAGCCGGAGGTTCATGAATCTCATGATCATCATCATAACTGTGACCACTCGCATGACCATCACCATCACCATGGTCATCATCATCATTTGGGGAGGAAAAAGCTGCCGGAAGAACTGGCGGAAGAGGACGATCTTAGATCGGAATTTGTGTCCCACCATGATCATCATCACGGTGGAGATTCAGAGCTATCTGGTGTTGGTAATGTTACGTTTGAAAACCTAGTTCATCCTTGCCTTTGTTCATTCACTCTCTGAAATTTTTGAAGATTAATGATAAATGTTTGCATTTTGTGGCAAACTCCATGATATTGTAGTGCAATTTTTGAATACTCGTTATGTTCTTGCACTTTGATAGGGCTTTGGATTCATGCAATGGGGTGTTCACTGTTGGTGAGCTTGGCTTCTCTTATTTGTTTGATTCTACTGCCATTGATATTCTGTGAGTTGCTTAACCATCAACTTCTTTTTCTTTCTATAATTTCGATTCGCTTTTCAATTAAACATTCCACAATTTCTCTGAATTCCTGCAGTTCAAGGAAAACCATCAAAGACATTTGTCGATTCACTTGCTGTATTTGGGGTTAGATTCTTCATCTCTCATTTTTTCTCTTACCAATGTTAGGTTTTCCATTGCTAAATCATTCATCTCTCTATCCATTTGGCTTTTTCAGGCAGGAGCCATGCTTGGTGATGCTTTTCTTCATCAATTGCCACATGCATTTGGTATTTTAAAACATGAATTTGAAATTCATTTTAAAACTTTATACATTCTTGATTAGTTTACATTTTGTATTTAATAGTTAAATAGTTAGATTTATTTATCAGGTGGTGGACATTCTCATTCACATGATAACCATACGGATGATACCCATGATCATGATCATTCCCCTTCACATTCCCATTCCATTGAAGATCTCTCAATTGGATTATCCATTTTGTGTAAGTAATAATGTGTATGAATTATGAAATACTTTCATCATATCTTGAAAGGCTCTTGATTTTCTCATTTTCACTGCAGTTGGAATTGTTGTTTTTCTTCTTGTGGAAAAGATTGTGAGGTATGTTGAAGAAAGGTCAAGAGGAGTTAATTCATGGACTCATGGTCATCATCATCATCATCACCATAAGAAGAATGAATCACTGGAAAATGTCAATGATGATGACAAATCTAATGAATCTTTAAAAACACAAACACAAGATGAATCATCTCTTCTTCGCAAGGTAAACTATCTTTATCTTATCAATCTTTATAAAAACATATACAAATATTGTTGCTAAATTTTATATCATTATTTACTTTACAGAGAAACATTAGTACTAATGGTGACAAGATTGATGAGAAAGGACCAAAAAGTGAAACAAATTCCATTACAGGGACTGAACCTGCACATTCATCAAGTCTTGTGTTTGGTTATCTTAATCTGTTCTCTGATGGTGTTGTATGTGATTCTTACTTCTTAACTTCTTATTTCTTAACCATTTGTTTTTTTTATTAAATATAAATAAATATTCATCATTGAGCTAACAAAAAATATATAAAAATAAATAAAATGCAGCATAATTTCACAGATGGAATGGCTTTAGGAAGTGCTTTTCTTTTATACGGGTCTGTAGGTGGGTGGTCAAGAACACTATTTCTTCTTGCACATGAACTCCCTCAAGAGGTATGAAAAGTGAAAAACTTTTTATTAAATTTATTTAATCAATTTATATATTATCATTAAAAGAATTAATTATTTCAGATTGGTGATTTTGGGATCTTGGTGAGGTCTGGTTTTAGTGTTTTTAAAGCCCTGTTCTTTAACTTTCTCTCTGCATTGGTGGCATTAGCAGGAACTGCATTGGTTAGTTTTCTTTTTTTTCTTTTTCTTTTTTTTAATTATTAAAATGATAAATAAAAATGAAAACTTTCTAACAATGACCAAATAATAGGCATTGTTATGGGGACAAGATCCAGGGCAATCATCTTTGATTGAGGTATGACTTTTTATAATGACTATAATTTTGATGAGCATTTATTGATATTATTAGTAAGTGATTTTTTTTATTTTTATTTTTTTGATAAAATTAAAAAAATGAACAGGGATTTACAGCAGGTGGATTTATATATATAGCAGTGGGGGTGATGGCAGAAATGAACAATGGAAGTTGTTCAATAAAAACTAGTGTGATACAGTTGACTTCTTTAGTAATGGGGATGTCTGTTGCCCTTTTTATTTCTCTTATTGAATGAATCAACAATTTTTAATATAAAAATTAGAGACACTTTCTTGATCTGACAGTTTTTTTTTTTTAATTGAAAGGTATGATCATAAATTACATATATGAGTATACATTTAGTGTATAGTAACATAATTGTTGCATAGAAAAAGTAATATTTTGGTTTGTACAAAAAGGAAATGTGATGACATGTTTATTACATGTAAGAAAGCTGCATTTTGGTTTGTCTCAAAGTTAATATTCTATTCTAAAATTTGGAATAAGGTATTAAAATGTTCATGTAGTTAAATACATCGTACTTAAGATAAAGCAAAAAAAAGACATAGATGCTATAAGTGAAAGTAATTTTAAATGAAACAACATAAAAGTTGATTATGATTTAGAACTAATTGGTGTAGAATTTTGCATTGGTTTGAAACAAAGAAAAAATATCCATTTGGTCAAGTTTTGTTCCTAAGTTGTTTAGTTTTATTCTTTATATCATATTATAATATACTGATAATATTAGTTTTAATCTACAAAATATTTTGTTTTAAATTCAATATGTGGATTTTTGAATTATGTTCAACTGTTGGTATTTGACTAAGGTTAATTATTCATACAAGAGTCAAGTAATGAAGTTTGTCTTTAAATCAAAGGTTGATGATATAAGATAAATATGGTAATGAATTTTGGCTTTTGCCGGTATTTAAATAACTATGTTTTTTTTGTACATGTTTAACTAATAAATGTGTTTATCATGTTCAAAATATGGTAATATTAATGGAAATTACCGGTAATATTAACCTATTATGAAGGTCAAACAAGTTTACCTGTGTACGAATCAAAACATGATTATCTAAATATGAACAAAAATTAAAGTCCGTTACCCAAAAAAACTATTATGGAATATGTGCGATTTACATGTCTTAATACTTAACTTAGTATGTTTTTGTGGGTGATGATTTTAGATCCACTAACATGACCTAAACAACATGACAATACTACATGACTGTATGACATGATAATACGACATGCTAACAATGTCTGACACCCACAAAAACATACTAACAACGTAAAAAAAATACATAGACCTCTAAAGTGCACATAGTCTATGATAGTTATTTTTTCTAACGAATTTTGGTTTTTGTTTATATTTAGGTAACATTTTTTTTTGTACACATTTGACCTATTCATAATAGGGTAATATCAACGGTAATTATCAGGAATATTAACCTATTTTGATCAGATCAAACAAGTTTACTGATCAAACGTATACGGAAAAAATATAGTTACTTAAATGCAGACAAAAACCAAAGTTCGTTACCCTTGTGGGTCGTTAACATTTAAATCAATCAAATATTCGTAGTATTTATTTTAATTTATTATAGAAATAAATTATTGTTCAAATTTGTTAACTTTAGTTATTTAGATAATGGTGTTAAATATTTCCAAGTCTTATAAAATTTCCATCTACAAGATTTTTAGTTTTTTATTTTCTAATAAAATTTTATAAGTTAATTTTCATTTTTGTTTCCAGTCTTACAAACTCACTTAACTTAAGAATTGCATTACATATTAACCACTTTCTTTCTTATTTTCTTTCTAATTCTTATTTTATACTATTGTTATCTAAATGTATTTACTTAATTTATTTAGAATATTTAATAAAAGTATCTTATTTTTACAAATTATTTAACAAAAAACAAATAAAAGATAACTTCAAAGTTATACTAATCTCAGATATATGATGATTGCATATAAATTTTTTTTTTTTTTTTTTTTGGAAAGGGAACTTCCCTAACGAAGGTTTCCGGGCCAACTTTCGCGCACCGACTAATCCCCCGCTGCAAACATAAAGCTTTGCTTCATGCCCTGGAGTCACTGCAGGCGAACCTCCATGACCACAAGGACTGAGTGGTGCCAGGATTTGAACATGGGTCAATAGGTTATCCACCATATCTTCCACATGCCTTACCAAATCACTACAACCCAAGTGGTTAAATAAATTTATTTGTTACTCATTTATTATAAATTTATTGTTTGCTATACTTAAATATTGGTATCTTATTAACCCAAGTGGTTAAACATAAATTTATTTGTTACTCATTTATTATAAATTTATTGTTTGCTATACTTAAATATTGGTATCTTATTAACCCAAGTGGTTAAACATAAATTTATTTGTTACTCATTTATTATAAATTTATTGTTTGCTATACTTAAATATTGGTATCTTATTATCAACCACCCCTATATTGTATATAGTATTCACACTTGTAACTTTGGTGTATAAAATAGGTTGGATATTGAGTAGATATGAAATTTGTGTTATATTGTAGCTCAAATGACGTAGTATTTAATTGTTTTTGCTCTGCATGATCTTCACGCGAATTTTATTATATTTTTTTAGTTTTTTATGTGTGTATGAGGAGCATCTATAACGATTTAAATTATTGTTTTATAATATTTTTACTAATTTTAATTATTAATTAAATATATTTTCTCGAAAAAGTTTTATAGTTTTTACATGTCCAACTAATTCATCTTCATTAATTAAAAATGTTTTATAAAACTCCTCTTTTAATTTATTGTTTTTAAACACATTATTTTTTAATATGAAATATTTTAATAGAAGAATATTAATAGACATTAGTTTTTAACTACAACTATTGTATCTTTATTTGAAATATATAAAATATGAAAAAAAATATATTATGTAATAATTATAAAAGTAAAAAGAGCATTCAAATATTATGTGTCATTATAAATTTTATATTTTGTAAATAAAATAGTTTTAAATGTTTAATAAAGTAAACTAATTATAAAGAAATAATAAATATTATAATTCAATATAACTGAAACGATAAAATGAAATAGTAATGAATGAGATGGTGTTAGATGTATAAAAAATAAAAGTAAAATAAGTATCATACATACTTATAAAGCTAGTATTATTTCTTAAATCTCAAGCATTTGAAACCCCCATTCTTTTTTTCTTTCACCACATTCATTTGAAACTCTCATGATTTTTTAATTTCTTTATAATAATAATTATAATTTGGTAATTAGGTTAAATAAATATCAAATCTAAAGTGTAATCATATATAAACTAAATTTCAATATTAAAATAATATATTTACTCCTACTTATAAAATTATGTTTTTTAATATTTAACATATTATACTTAATTTATTAGTTTTAATATATTGTTGGATGTAAACCATTATCATTTTAAAGGTATAATTTTTGAACAATTTGTATAAAATACTTAAATTATTAATTAAAATATAACATTATAGTCTCAACTTAGATATTAATTTTTTTTAACTTAAACAACCGAAATATTATTTTATAAATAGTTAAAAGTGATAAATGGTAGTGTCTTTTTAATAATGATTGTAATTTGGTTAATAAAGTTAAATAAATATTAAACCTAAAGTGTAATCATAAATAGACTAAAATTTAATTTTAAAATAATATATTTAATTCTATTTATAAAGTTATGTCTTTAAATTTTAACATATTATACTTAATTTATTAGATTTAAAATGTTGTTGCATGTAAACCATTATCAGTTTAAAACTACAACTTTTGAACAATTTGGACAAAATAATTAAATTGTTAATTTAAATATAACATTACGGTGTTAACTTAAATATAAATTTAAGTTCCACTAAAAAAAACAGATAATATTTTATAAATAGTTAAAAGTGATAAATACAAAAACTAAATTGTAATATCAGTTTAACTAAAATATTTCCTAAATATATTTTTATAATCGTTAAAAAATTTCAAATAAGTAGCTTAAAATAGCTTATAATAACAATAGTTAAAAATAACTCTATATAAATAATTATATTGTTATCTTTAAAATAAAAAAATAATGTTTGATGTTTTTAATAATTATAATGATAGAAATTAAAACATTAAGCAAATAAATTTTAAAAAATTAGTTAACAATAACAACAACTATAAATAATATTAAATCATATATAATTTTAATTTTATTTATGTGTAACTCGCGAGTAGAAGTTCATTCAAACGATTGAGATTATGACGTTATAATAGATGTATATATATATTATCATGGAATTCAAAATAATCAATATATTATATCAAATTAATATACGGATTATTATATCAAATTTAACAACAACGTTAGTGTTATATTTAAAAAAATATAAATTTGTAAAGACTTCAACTATATAGGTTTTTATGCGCATTACAATGTCAACTCAAATAAATTTTCAGTTCCATTTAAAAAGGTAAAGAATATTTTGTAAATAGTTAAAAGTGTTAAATTATAGTGATAAAAGCAAAAACTAAATTGTAATCTCAATTTAACTAAAATATTTCTTAAATATATTTTTATAATCGTTAAAAGTTTCCAAATAAGTAACTTAAAATAACTTACAATAAGAATAGTTAAAAACAACTCTATATATATAAATAATTATATTGTTAGCTTTAAAATAATAAAAAATAAAAAACAACGTTTGATGTTTTAAATAATTATAATGATAGAACTTAAAACATTAAGCAGATAAATTTTAAAAAATTAATTAACAATAAAAACAACTATAAATAACATCAAATCATATATTATATTTAATTTTATTCATGGGTAACTCGCGAGTAGAAATTATTCAAATGATTGAGATTATGAAGTTATAATAAATTTATATATTATCATATAATTCAAAATAATCAATATATTATATCAATTTAGTATATACAAATTATTATATCAAATTTAACAACGTTATTGTTATATTAAAAACACATATATTTGTAAAGACTTCAACTATATAGGTGTTTCTGCGCAACGCGCGGGCATTCGCCTAGTTCATTATATACTAAGCAACAAAAAAAAAAAAAAAACACTCCAATGATGTTGAGTGGTCGACCAAAATACCAAAACGTTACTGATTGTCTACATTATAGCTTGGTCTTTCCCCGATTGTATAAAACCAAAGCCTATCCCCATATTGGTAAACCCTTAAGCAGCAAAAAAGGGCTAATAGAAAAAACCATACACTAAAAGGCCCAAACACATACCAAAGAAATTATTGTTCAAAATCATCACATTCATACATCAAAGTAAAAAAAATGTCTAAAAAGTA